TCCTTTATAGTAGTTAATGGCCTCACTCTTATGTATTGGCCATTTCCACTAAAACCTACTGCAGACACGCAGTCTCGCTATAGTGAGTGTTTATGCAGCAGATTCTGGCTCCCCAGCACGCAAATCAATAGTCATTGCAGTCGCACTGTTTAGAGACACAAAGTGGCCTGTCTAGTTTCAATTTTGCTGTTTTTCAAGTCGTCACGATCGTGTGTACGGATCACATGGAACACGTCGAGCCAGTTCATTAGACTTAGAGATTTAGGTAGTGTAGATGAGCCGATTGCAGGTGATCGATCGCTTGACTTGTAGTACGCCAACGACGTCGCCTTCGTTGCTGGCAGCTTCTAAATGTGCAAAGCATTAACAGGCAGTTTGTCGCAAGTTGTCAATCGGTACGGGATAAAGTTCACACCCACAAAGTGTAAAGTCCTCTTCCAAGATTAACCATTTCAATGACTTCGTCGATGATAAATTTAAGAAAGGTGATAGCAGGCACTCTTGTCGCACACCGATGAAGATAGTGAAGCGTGGGGACAGTGTGCCATAAGCTCTTACACGGCCTGAACCATGCGCTCGTATGACATTCCCAGTTTATCGGACACACTTTTCCTGACTAGACAGTCCCGAAGAGCACAGCGATCCACCGAATCGGAGGCACCTTAGATGTCGTACAACACAAAGGTGGGTCGCCAATAAACATGGCGGTGTTCCAATAAGCGAAGAAATGTGAAGACATGATCAATGCAACTTGAATCGCGACAAAACCCGCTTTGCTCCCCGCGAATCTGGTATTCACGAGTGCCAAGGTAACTTCATCACTATCATCATCAATACACGTTAGCCGATGGTGAGAAACACACCTCAGCTAATGTGGCGCAGTAAAAAAAGTGAGGCATTAAGCAATGCAGATTTAAAAGCAATAAAATAGTAACACATTGTTCATCGGTGTTGGAAAGGGAAGCTAAATGGAAGAGGAGGGACAAGACGCACAACAAAAGGGCCACTGAGGTCGACTCTTCGCCACATCAGCTAGTGTATCCAACCAAACGTGTTAATCATCCCTCGGCACACAGATAAGCAGTCGGGAAACACCAACCGACGCCAACCAGTAAATGGAAGCAATTGAAATCAAACTGATCTCAAGCACCTAGATTATCCACAACGACTTCACTGCCTGGGCCTATCCTCGCTTAAGTACCGACGTCTGCGGGGCGACCTGGTCTTTGTATTTATGATCTTATCCAACCCTGGACATCCCTGTCGCCACCTACTCACACAGCACCAATCGTGCTCCCACCTACGTGGCCACCCACTGAGGCTCACAAATCAGCACAGACGGCTGAACTGCAGACGACACACTTCGCTTTGCGAATCTGCCGACCGTGGAATGCTCTGCCTGTCGATTTAGTCTTGGCACCCACTGTGGCGGATTTTAAGACCTACCTGGACTGTTATCTGGTCTAGCTACACCACGATATTCCCTGATATAACTACCTTCTACTTGATAGAGTTTCTTTCCTTTTTTCTACCTACTTCCTTTCCATAGCCGTTTCAGAGGGCGTGGTGGGAGGTCACGCTTTGAGCCGGCGTGCATTCTGTTTAATGCCGCGTAAGCCTGATGAAGATACGGCTGACACGCGAGTCCAATCCGCTATAAGGTTGCTTGGCATTTCATCAGACCAGACCCGAACTTTTTACCCTATGGGTTATATAAAGCTTGAGCTCTTATTCCCATTAAATACAATGTTCCAATGTACAGCTATAATTCCCGCATTACGAACATGACCCATACTTAAAAATGAGGACTATAACGAAGCGGCTCGAGTCTGCTGGGTCAGTCTGCTTACACAGCTCCACTAATAAGTTGTGTAAATCAACAAAAGCTAGTCTCCAGACTGTTCTAACCACAGAGGTATTAGCCTAACGCCAATTGTGACAAAGTTATTGGCCTCGATTATCGTTCGTCGCCTCACTGCGGAACGCGAATCTCGGAGTAGGGAAGAGCAGACCGGTTTCCGCCCAGGACGTCGCTGTATAGACCATATATTCACTTTGCCGCAGGTGCTAGGGCAACGCCACGCACACCGCAGACCGACAATAGCTGTGTTCCTCGATTTCAAGAGTGCCTTCGATTCAGTCGATCGATCCATTCTGTTCGAAATACCTGCGCGGAGACGTGTTCACACAAAATATGTGAACATCCTTCGTGCTCTATACTCAAACACTACAGGCCGCGTCAGGGGGTACGGTGTCTTATCGGATAGCTTTCCGACCACAAGTGGCGTTCCTCAGGGTTGTCCGATTTCCCCCTTTCTGTTCAATTTCGTCGTGGATTCTATCATGCAGTGTTCCCTTGTGGAATCTCACGATGTAGGCGTTGAAGTTCTGTCTGGTGAAAGGTTAGCTGATATTGATAATGCGGACGATATCGTCGTGCTTTTCGACGATGTTGCGACCACACAATCAACCCTGAATAGCCTGTCCAGTGTGGTCCCATTATTTGTGTGCACTTCGCACCTTCAAAGTGCAAAGTGTTGCTGCAGGACCACCAGCCACTTGATGACCCCTTGACGCTTGCTAACGAGGGACTCGAGGTGGTTGATCATTTCACTTATCTTGACAGCTGCGTCAGCAATGATGGGCGCATAGAAACTGACGTCCGCTCACGCATTGCAAAAGCCAGAGCTACCTTCGTGAACCTGCGGCATCTTCGGCGACAGAAGAGAGTTTCCCTCCGTCTGACAGGCCGCGTATACAAGGACACAGTGAGGGCCGTTCTGCTCTATGGTAATGAGACTTGGTCCCTTCGGTCTGAAGAGCTGAGGCGCCTTCAATTCTTTGATTATCGTTGTCTGCGAAGCATTGCTGGAGTCGGATGGCATCAGCGTATCCCCAACGATGGTATGCGTAGGCGAGTACTAGGTGGTGATAATCATGCTAGCTCTCTAGAACAACAGATAGCACTGAATAAGTTGCGTTGGCTCGGGCACGTGCTACGTATGCCTGGTCACCGCTTACCTAGGAGGGCCTTGTTTAGTCTGCCAAGTGTAGGGTGGCGCAAGGCTCGAGGTAATCAGTTGACTTGGCAACGGGAAATGAAGTCACTGACGACCAAACTGGGTACCGTTGGTCCGTCTCGCCTTCCGGGCTGGAGTCCATGTGACTCGCCTTGTGCTTGGCTCGAGACTTTACAGGACATGGCTCGTAGTAGACACCAGTGGCGCGTCTGCTGCCGTCTCCTAGTCGGATTGCCTATTTAAAGTGTGTTTGGTGCTGAGTTATCTGGGGGGTTATGGCTGATTATGACGCAGGGCAGTGAAAGCTGCAAGGAAGCTGTCTCGCCGATGCCGCCTTATTTTCGCACGATAGCCAGCTGTTTGTGACGGCATGTTGTCTACACGAGGTGTAGGCGCCTTGACCCAGAATGTTTGCTTAGGGCATAAAGGTTATCAGGTAGGTCCCCCTTCTCTCCCTCTTCTTATTCTTTATTTCATAGGTCCTCATGGTTGTATGGCAGCGAAGCATCAGTTTAAATGGCTGATGTGCTGCTGTTGATAAGTCCAGAATTTGGTAGGAGCTGGAATTATAGATGCTTTTACGGTCTTGTTCAATTTGATAATCTGACCTTACAATTGAGGACGAAACGAGCCTTAATAGCTGCAGCTGATATACTGACACTCCAAAAAGTTTCCTCGTACTTGGTGTCAAGAAACGGTCAGCCATTGGGAAGGTCAGGTCAGGTCAGTTTCTGAGGATGATATAGAGTTCAGCCTAACGAGCGTCACGCTTCTTGAACCGGTAAGCGAACCAAGCCCCCGGCGCTTAGACGTTACAATAATTATCCGTATTACTGCGAAGAAAGAAAAGAGAACGAGAGCAATTTGGCACACACGTTTGGGCAAAATTACTTTAATTCAGGAAAAAGATCTGGCAGACATTTATCTAGGTCACGTTTAAAGGCTTCTACAGTTTAACATTCTAGTAAATCATGAGGAAGCCTATTCCACGTGCTGACGGTGAAAATTTTCACGGTTTAAGTTAGTGAGCACAAGGCCCTGAGTTGCAGGTAGAGAATACTACACTTCCGCCGAAAATTGTCAAATGTCCTACAATTTTTGGCGTTTCTTATATTTAGAAACGAACTGGCTCCTCTTCTTGAGGATCCCCGCTATATCTCCGCAGATGATTTGAAGCTATTCAGCCTGGGAAATCGAGAAACATTGACTAAGGATTTAATCGCTGTGGCGATTTGGCCGGGCCAATGGGATTTGCCTCTGAATTCCAATGTCAGCTATCGCCCAGTAGTGATGGCGGAAATGCAGTGCACTCTCCCACAGGATCTCTATCATTGCAGTGTACTGATGAAGCCCGTGATGTAGGTGGCATCAGAGTGAATAGTTTTAAGCCCTCGGCACAATGTCACCATGCTGTTAATAAAGCGCGACAAATGTTCCGTCTATGGAGGGCGTTGAGTAACACAAAAGCAGAAGTATTCTTGCCGTTATATAAAGCAGTGGTTAGGCCGCATCTGGAGTATTGTGTTAAGGCCTAGGCACCGTAGCTCCATTGTGACGTGTATAGAAAAGATTCAGAAACTTGCGACAAGAATGATCTAAGGTCAAGGAGGGAAGCCGCATGAAGACCGGTTAAGTAGCTTAGGATTATTTTCCCTGGAACGGCGGATTGCGAGGGGATTTGATAGAGAGGTTTAAGATCATTAAGAGACTCCGTGGTGTAAATCTTGCCCATCTGTTTGAGTTAGCTACGTCGGATCAAATGCGCGGGCATCGCTTAAAGCTCAAACAACACAGGGCTCGTTTGGACATCAGGGCGAAATTTTTTACAAACCGAGTAGTTAACATCTGGAATAAAGTTCCTTTTGATCTCGTAGAATGAAACTGTAGAAGCCTTCAAAGGAGGCTTAGATAAGTGTTGGTCTGACGTCGACCCCGAGATATTGTAACTATACTGGAATATGTAAGTATTTTGATGCTGACCCATGAAAGTGCAAATATTGCTCTTGTTCTTGCTTCATTCTTTTGCAGAAGCAAGAAGTCAATCCAACTTCGAAGTGCAGGGGGTGTTGTTCAAATATCGGCATAAAATACAGGACACTCGTTAGGTGAAAGCCTCTATCGTTCGTGGTACCTGACCTAACCTGACATGCAAGAAAGTGGACTGAGATTCGCAAGGACTCACATTGGGATCGTGCTTCAGCGACCTCGGACTAGTGACAAGCAGACAACCAATTGGTAGGTGTAATTTCATGGTGTGTAAAGCAAGCTATCGCACATTGTAATTCTCCCTTGGATATCACAAGACACATTCTGTAAGAAAAAATAGGTATTGCATTACCGGCTAAAAATTCTCGAGTCCGCTCCGAACTGTCAGCTTACTTGCATGCACACACAATATAACACACTAAGAATGGAATTCCGACCATAATGGTAGGCCACTCGAAGGTTTGTTCAACAGCGCATAATCTCATTGGGAGCGGGAGTACGATGACTAATACACAATCGCATTAGATGTAAAACCATCCGAAAGCAGTCGCCAGTTATATAATTTGTACAATCAAACTGCAAGAAGATTACATTGCAAATAAAGTTACCACGTAAACTCACGGTGTGAATCCTTGAACACGGCAAATATATCCATTGCTCTCGGGCACACAAGACGAGCACACTCGATTGGTCAGCTAAACGACCTTGAAAATGTCACGGTCACTCTATGGAGATGCAAGCAACGGGCGAAACATTAGTGCGCGGACTAAAGTTGAACCGATGCTGCAGCGGCATTATCGCTTGCCTTTCGGAGCGGCGTGCTCGTGCTGTGACTGAAGAGGTGCAAAGCAATAGAGTAGACTGTAAACCTGCCTACGTGTTACGTAATACAAGTTCCAGTTTCGCTATTGAAAGTCTTCTTGCGTCTATGCTTCAATGTGCCGACCGTTCCAAGAACGAAAAAGCCGAAAGCAAGAAAATGATCGAAGCAACTTTTGCATATGATGCATGTGACGATGGAAAAGCAACGTCGGCTGCAGATGTTGTTTTCAGTGCCCTTATAAGTAAACATTAGGTGCATCGACTTTGCAAGGTGCACATAAACAGTTCTCTTGCCTCATTCCGTACTGTAGTTGGAGGAAACTAGCATCGTTTTGTACAGCAGCTTCCCGTCGCAACATAGTAGTGTTCTATTGTGTTTGCATGCAAGGAGGTTTTAACACTGCCGAAACAGGACATTACGACTTGCAAGTTTAGTTCATTGCCCCATTTACTAGATCACGCACAGCCGCTTTGGGAACAACGCCGCCAGTTTTACTCCTGATATAAATTTCTCGGAGAAATGAGCAGAACCTTCGTCCCTACCTTGAGACACTAAGCAAACCATGCATATGAGGAAATAAAGGCCGGCTAACGTAAACAACGTGTTTTGGAACAGTTACTGAAAGGAAATCCGACACGATCAGTGACGAACCCCCCTAACCGACTGGATACAGCGGTTCGGTAAGGCGAAGAGCTGGAACAAGTTGCTGGAGCCTTAGACAACACCAACACGTCCGCCACGGTATTTAGCTGCTCTGCTCTTTACAAACACGAAAGAACTGGTAATACAGCCTGTCTTGTAGCGGTGCACCAGGTGCAATCAGCCTTAGTTCACATGATGTCAAATGCTGGCCCCCAGCGAAACAATGTCCTCAGTTGGAACAATAACCCTGGCCAATTTGTCCGATCGGGTAAACCCTCATATGGGTGAGGTCGTTCAAACATGGCTCGCAGCTAGCGGCTCCAGGCAAGTCGTTCATAAACACGTTCTGAACCATTACACGGAAGACCGCTTCCAAACAATGTCCGAAGCTGGCAGTCCAACACAGGCCATTTTTAGCCTTAGATTAATCATCACAAGAGGTAAGTTTTATAGACCTTCGGCGTCCAGCAAAGTAAAGAAAACTTTCGCGCTTACTAGTGAGATCGACGTTTCAGGAATTTCGCTTGTCGGGCCAGTCGATACCGGGCGGGCAAGAGCCCTTTAAATACTGGTGTGCTTAAGTTGCTAACTGTCTACATCCCTGACTCACGTGCATGCCGTTTGATTGTCGTCAAAAACGAAACACTAGTTACGCGCAGTTCCATACGGTTGTCAGTCGTCAGCGCTAATAGGAAAATGCAGCATGCGTTTGTCGTTGACGACTACATTCCTTTCACCGTCATCATTAAGGTGGACTCACTAGGTTGACTAAGTTATCAATGGAACAACGGTTTATTACGAGCAAAAAAGCATTGCTTAACAAGTCCCGTAGGATGGAAATTATTGCGAAAATCACTTACATGTTAAAGTGAATAGCGTTGTGGTGGATTCACCATAGACTTATGTGGAACAGCGGAGATATTCGCGTATTAAACGTATAAATCCACATATCCATCGGTTAGGCGTTTGGCAAGGCACCGATTGATTTCGATTTGTAGCCCCTGGCTAACAAGTCATGAAATGAAATGTTAGCGAGACAATGCATCGTCAACACGTTTGTTAAATATCGTCAGATTAGGTGCAGAGACGACATAATTAGGGAGGGCGTTCCAAGGCTGGCACACGCGGAGGGAAAAGTAATTTCTACGGCATTCAAGCCGGCTATACTGTATTGTCAGTTTCAGAGGGTGACCTCTTAGTTTATTGTTGTGCTTCAATTCTAGCAGCCGACGGCAAATGTGGTTTGGTTTCTTCAGAATCTGGTAAACCATTATGAGATCCCCCGCAAAAGCCGATATCGACTGCTGTACATTCTTAGAGATTTCAATCTAAGCTGATAGGGCAGATGAAAGAGGCTTCTGACGTTCTTGGTTGCCCATCCTTGAGGAGTCTCGAGAGCAACAAGATCCTGTTTCTGTCACGGCAGCCACGCCTGAATAGCATATTCCACTTGCGGTCGCAAGTTGGTGTTAAGCAGTTGGAGAAGATTGAGGGTTCAAACCGACCGAACGCTCTGCGATGAAGGCCGAAGCGTTGATTGCCGGTTCTCGTCGCCTCTGCTTGTTTTAAGCACCCGAGATCTTCCTGTATCAATACACCCAGGTCACGCTCCTGAGCGACCTTCTCCTAGGTGTGATCGCCAAGCTTGTAAGCGCTCATCAGCTGGTGACGCAGATGTATCACATTGCACTTAGCTATGTTCAATTGAAGCATGCTCCTCTTTGACCATTCGTAAATGCAATCTAGGTCATGTTGGAGCAGATCGTGCTCTGGCTTGTTACTAATCGACCGCCATATCGTGACGTCATCGGCGAAAAGCAGGAAATTTAAGAAGATAACTGATGCCAGGTCGTTGATAAACACCAGGAATCAGCGCGGTCCCAGCATTGTGCCTTGTGGAACACCACATTCCACCTCAATTGGGTTAGAAAGTGATCCCCTAACACGTACTTGAATCTTCCGTTGGTGAAGGAAGTTGCTAATCCAACCAAGTACAGGATCTACGATTCCGTAACTCTGTAGCCGTTGTAGGATGCGGTGAGCAAGGCGGTCGAAAGCTTTGGGGAAGTCCAGATAGATGACGTCGACTCCGACCACATCATCGGCCACTTCCGTCCAACTACCTCGTGCAATCAGTAGATTGGTGGTGCATGACCAATGTTGACGGAAGCCATGCTGTTCCGGTACAGATGTTGCATTTTTCAGGGTAGTCCATTGAAGACTCAGCGATGACTGCTTCCATTACCTTCAAGCGCACAGGGAGGCGAGTCAATGGACGATAGTTTGCAGGATCTGAACAGTTACCGCCTTTAAAACTAGGTTGATAATGCCACACTTCCACATAGTGGGGACTTGTTGCTCATCAAAGCACCTTTGGAAGAACTGTGACAGTGGTTCATTTAGCTGGTTGGCCACAGCCTTCAGAGCCTTCGGGCAGACGTTGTCTGCTCCCGGAAAACTGTGTTCACACAGTGAGAGGAACTTACTTAACGCAATTAATGGGTTGAAACTTACAGTTGTAAACAATGGGGTCGGTAATGTGCATGACGCTATGGGACAAGTAGAGGTTGCGAGTACAAAAATTGGGGCGTATTGCAGCCGCAGGGCATTATCTGCTTCTTCGGCGCTTTGTACTCTACCGCCTGTCGTGAACAGTGGATGAATTACATGCTTCACTTTATGAAGCTTATTGACATGCCTATATGGCAGTCTGTTGTTTACCATGAATATTTTGACTAGGTACTGTTGGTAAGTTACTTTGTCCTCAAGGGCACGTGCAGTGCAATGGTTGCGATGGATCAGGAAATTGCCCCAAGTCTCTGAGTTAGACTTGGTGAGACTGCAGTTGAATACCAATACCTGTACGCTTCCGCTTTACTTACATGGATGCGGTGTTGTTGAGGAGTACTCGATCCGTTCTACCTCGGAAGGACTCTCCTGGATGGACGAGTTGGGACAGCTACTAAAGTTGTCTGAGCGTGATCATAGCCTGCGACAGTTGGCAGATATTTTACAGAAACACAGGCGCTTTCGCATAGGGGATAGGGAATACTGGGCACTCCGCAATTCTGAAGCACTCAATTGATATCGGCCATGCTAAACCTGTGTGACGCCAACCGAGAAGGATTCCATTTTCCTAGCACAACAAGGCGCAGAAGATGGTTGAGGCAATGCTGTAGAGGAATTGCGTCCAGCCTTCCACTTCCACGTATGCGTCACTCACTGTTCTGCTGAAGAAGAAGAAGAAGACGAAGAAGTATAATAGTTTCCTGTTGGGTGTGGTTCAAAGGCATCTTAACCAGGTACCGCGGCAGGACTCTCTCCCTCTACAGAGAAACAACAATTTCTTTGCTACATTTAGTAGTTCGACGTGTTTCAGAATTCACCAGCTTGCTTCTGGCTATTGGCAGGTAGAAGTGCATTAGAGCGATCAAGCGAAAGCTGCTTTTGTCATGCTTTCTGGCTTGTACGATTTTCAGTCAATGCAGGTGGTTGAAGCAAACGCTGAGACATTTCGTTGACTGAGGCCCACTGCATTGCGCCGATTGAACCCACGGAAGTACCTCGTTTTATTAGTCGACGTTACCGTGCGTAAGAATACAAAGTAGGAGCACCTGAACAATCTGCTCAAGGTGAAAACACGTCTAACTGAGGTAGGTCTCAACCTTAAACAATTAAAGTACCACTTACTACAGGAAGAAATGGTGTATCTCCGACACATTATGTAGCCCAACGAGCTGCTGGCTGGTTGGTATAAATAACTATATAAATAATTTATTCTCGCATACTTCGAGTCACAACTATTTTGGCATGATCAAGGCTATACAAGCGAGTGTTTCGCAAATATCCCGCTGCTTTGCGTGAAATGCGCTGTCAGCAAAATATACAGAATTTACCGAAGTTGCAGATGCACTAATCAGGAATGGAAGCTTTAATGATGTGGCGAAATTCTGGGTTCAAGCGTGTGTAAACGTGTAACGTATTGAGTAGAGACCTAAGGTAGAAACAAGGAAGCGTCTTTTTAGAGTATATATCCAAACTATATGGAAATGATGTTGAAAGTCGCGTTGGTTATCTTAAAAATGTGAGTTTTGTGGACAGTGACTTTATTTAGTGACGAGGCACATTCGCCACGTGGCAGTGTTGGTAAACAGACATTTGTGGCTTTTTATAAGTAGGACGCTTGCCAGGCGAAGCCTTGCCGAGTCCTGCCTGTAGTGGTCAAGGGTACGTTCCCCAGTAGGGGGCCGGGTGAATGCGAGCCATTGATGAGCTCCAA